GGGACCCCCAGGTCCAGGCAGCAGCTGACCACGTCCCCTTCGGCCAGAGCCCGGTGCTGGGGGGACGCCACGGCCTTGGGGACACCCCCTGGGGGGACAGAGGGGTCAGGGGGGTCCCGGGGGGTTCCCAAGGTGCTCCTGGGTGGTCCCAGGGTGGTCCCAGGGAGTTCCCAGGGGTTCCCAAGGTGCTCCTGGGTGGTCCCAGGGGGTTTCCAGGGGGTTTCCAGGGGGTTCCTGGGGTGATCCCAGGTGGTCCCAGGTGTGATTCCCATGGTGGTCCTGGGGTGGTCCCAGGGGGTTGTCAGGGGTTCCCAAGGTGGTCCCAGGCATTCCCAAGGTGCTCCTGGGTGGTCCCAGGTGCTGCCAGGGGTTGCTAAGGTGCTTCTGGGTGGTCCCAGGGTGGTCCCAGGGGGGTGTCAGGGGTTCCCAAGGTGGTCCCGGGGGTTCCCAAGGTGCTCCTGGGTGGTCCCAGGGAGTTCCCGAGGGTTCCCAAGGTGGTCCCGGGGGTTCCCAAGGTGCTCCTGGGTGGCCCCAGGTGGTCCCGGGGGTTCCCAAGGTGGTCCCGGGGGTTCCCAAGGTGCTCCTGGGTGGCCCCAGGTGCCCCTCCTCACCTGTCCACAGGTGGAGGCCGTCGAAGGCGAAGGAGTTGAGGTCGTCGCCGGCGCCGTTGCCCCCCCAGCCCGCGCCCCCGCCCGGGGCGGGCCGGAAGCCCCCGGCCGCCCCCCAGCCCACGCGCAGGTGGGTGGGCACGGCGGTGACGAAGGGCCGCGCCCGCTCCACGGCCACCTCGAAGTACCAGCAGCGGAACTGCGTCGAGCCCGGCGCCGTCCCCACAAACAGGTTGGGGCGCACGCTGCCGGGAATGGGGACACCTCGCTGGGAACCCCAAATCCCACCTTGGGAACCCCAAATCCCACTTTGGGAATCCAGGATCCCACCCCGGGAACCCCAAATCCCACCTTGGGAATCCCGGATCCCACCCTGAGAACCCAAATCCCACCCAGAGACACCTAAATCCCACCCCAGGAACCCCAGATCCCACCTTGGGAACCCTAAATCCCACCTTGGGAACCCCAAATCCCACCTTGAGAACCCCAAATTCAATCCCTAGAACCCAAATGCCACCATGAGGAACTGCGTCGTGCCCGGCGCCGACCCCACAAACAGGTTGGGGCGCACGCTGCCGGGAACGGGGACACCTCGCTGGGAACCCCAAATCCCACCCAGAGACACCTAAATCCCACCTTGGAACCCCAAATCCCACCCCAGGTACCCCAAATCCCACCCAGAGACACCCAAATCCCACCTTGGGAATCCAGGATCTCACCCCGGGAACCCCAAATCCCACCTTGGGAACCCCAAATCCCAACCAGAGACACCCAAATCCCACCTTGGGAATCCAGGATCCCACCCTGGGAACCCCAAATCCCACCCAGAGACACCTAAATCCCACCCCAGGAACCCCAAATCCCACCTTGGGAACCCCAAATCCCACCCAGAGACACCCAAATCCCACCTTGGGAATCCAGGATCCCACCCTGAAAACCCAAATCCCACCCAGAGACACCCAAATCCCATCTTGGGAACCCCAGATCCCACCTTGGGAACCCCAAATCCCACCCAGAGACACCCAAATCCCACCCCAGGAACCCCAAATCCCACCCCAGGAACCCCAAATCCCACCCAGAGACACCTAAATCCCACCTTGGGAACCCCAAATCCCACCCCAGGAACCCCAAATCCCATCTTGGGAACCCCAGATCCCACCTTGGGAACCCCAAATCCCACCCCGGGAACCCCGAATCCCACCTTGGGAACCCCGAATCCCACCCAGAGACACCCAAATCCCACCTTGGGAACCCCAAATCCCATCTCCAGAGACCTGAATCCCACTTTGGAAACCCCAAATCCCACCCTGGGAACTGTGAATCCCACCTTGGGAACCCCAAGTTCCACCTCTCAAGGTGCTCAGAGCATCTCAAGAGTTCCGAGGTACACCTCAACCAGCCCCAAAACCCCCAAAACCCCATCCCCAGGACCCCCTCAGCCCCTTAAAGCCCCCCAGGACCCTCCAAAACTCCCCCAGGTGTCCCCAGGTTCTTCTAGAAACATCTCAGGAGCTTCCAGGTGCACCTCAACAACTTCCAGACCACCTGAAAACTGCCCAAAACCCCCCCAAACCCCCAAAACTCCGCTCCCCTGGAGCCCTCAGCCCCTCAGAGCCCCCCAGGTGTTCTCAGGTTCTTCTAGAAACATCTCAAGAGCTTCCAGGTGCACCTCGACAACCTCCCGACCACCTGAAAACTGCTCAAAACCCCCCAAACCCCCAAAACTCCGCTCCCCAGGAGCCCTCAGCCCCTCAGAGCCCCCCAGGTGTTCTCAGGTTCTTCTAGAAACATCTCAAGAGCTTCCAGGTGCACCTCAACAACTTCCAGACCACCTGAAAACTGCCCAAAACCCCCCCAAACCCCCAAAACTC